GGTCTAAAACCAATAATTAACGAACCTACTCCTGTGACTAATACCAGCACCACTTGTTTAGATAATTTTATCACGAATATCCATTCTTCTAAATTTAGTGTCCAAATGTTAAAACCTTGTCTATGAGATCATTTTGCTCAGCTTATTATAATACCATTTGAGGATACTACATTTTGCAGAGAAAACGAATATAAACGTAGGTTTTCTAAACACAACATAACTGAATTCTGTAATTACCTATCAAAAGAAAATTGGACAAATGTCAAGGCCAAATATTGTCCAAATTTATCCTTCGATAATTTTTTTGCAACATCTACACATTATTTTAATATATGTTTCTCACTGAAATGTTATTATTCACCAAAACATAAATACTCACATTATAATCTAGCTAGTTCCCCAGAAATTGTCCATACAAGAAATATTTTAACTACTCTAGGAGATTTAAAAAACATTTATCCTCAATTAAAAGACTCATATACTTCATATACAAAAATCTCTTAAGCAACTCAATGAAAAACCAACATGATGCGATGATTTCATCTGCAGAAAATAAAATTTAAAAAAATGTGGAAAATAATTAATAAAAAAAGTTGTGAATGCGTAGGGCACAGGGATGAAATTAAAGTGAAAGAGAATGATAAGATTTTAGACCCTGCTTCCACTGCTAAAAAATTTAATGATTACTTTTCATCCGTGGGTAATAATTTATCACAGCACTTCAACAAACAAAATAATACAGACTACGTTTCTTCGACCACAAAAATCAAATAAACTCAATGTTTTTACCTCATATTACCGAGGAAGACGTTTCTGAAGCTATTTCTAAATTAAAATCCTCCACAGCTTGTGGTTTCGATGAAATTTCAAGTATATTACTTAAAAAGTGCAAATCACACATTTTATTACCATTAACCTATCTTCAGGGTTCGAAAATATGATATTTATATAAATATATCACATGATATATATCTGATATATATCGGATATACAGGGTGGCTCACGCTCAATGGGACGGAGCTTTATGGGAAAACGACCAAAGATATAAAAAATTCGTTTGGGAGGAATACGTAGGTTACAGACGGCTACAATTTAAAATTTGTTAGATGTATACAGGATGTCCCACATAAGAAAAAAAAATAGTTCATTAAAAATTATTCAAACAAGAGTAAACAATTAATTTCTGGGAGACTCTGTTTCCTTAAAAATTCAAATAAATCGAAAACTAATAATAATAGTAATAGGGAACCTTTAGTTAACTGACATTATTTTTGATGTAGTTTTTAATTTTAAAATAAAAAACAGGGTGTTCCATTAAAAATAATATAACTTTGTATATTTTCTCTTATGTGGGACATCCTGTATACATCTAACAAATTTTAAATTGTAACCGTCTGTAACCTACGTATTCCTCCCAAACGAATTTTTTATATCTTTGGTCGTTTTCCCATAAAGCTCCGTCCCGTTGAGCGTGAGCCACCCTGTATATCCGATATATATCAGTTTCTTGCACAAACTATATTTTAAATTTTAACACAAACATATTAACGAAAACTTATATTCTAAATAACAAAACTGTTTATTCTAACCCAAATTAAAAAGAAAAAACAAAAATAATTTATAAAATTAACAGATTTTAACATTATTTTGTTAACATTAATATTTAACACAAACACATATTAATCGCTAGTTATTATACTTTTATACAGGGGCGTATTGAGACATTTTTGGATATATATCAAGATATAAATATGATATATATCACTTGATATATATCCTCCGACCCCTGCCTATCTTATTAATATTTCTTTTCAATCGGGAATTTTCCCCAAATCAATAAAACAAACTATAATCTTACCCTTATTTAAAAAGGATAATCCTAATGACATCTGCAACTATCGACCAATTAGCCTGCTTTCTACATTTTCAAAAATGTATGAGATAATCATATATCACAATTTAAGTAACTATCTTACCCAGAATGGTCTGATAAATGATTCACAGCATGGGTTTATTAGAGGACGGAGCATTAACATGGCACTCTTTACGTTTGTTAAAGAGATTATAGATGCAATTGACAATCGATCTGCAGATATTGGTTTGTACATAGACCTTACAAAAGCCTTTGACTATGTCAATCACTCGTTACTTCTGATTAAGCTCGAGCATAATGGAATACGTGGTATAGTACATGAATGGTGCAAGTCTTATTTAGAGACTCGCACTCAAAAAGTTTCTATTAGATCTGCTGGTGAGACCTTTTTGTCTGAGTCGGTAGAAATTTCTTTAGGAGTGCCTCAGGACTCGGTACTTGCTCCCCTCCTCTTCATCATCTACGCTAACGATTTAAAATGTGCTTTAGGCCATGCGATTAATTAACTTGTCTGTTATGCTGATGACACAAATATTCCCCTAAAACTCAAAGATGTTTCTAATCTTCAAGCAAATCTGAATTTAATATATTCAAGTCTACAAGAATGAATGTATCACAACAAGTTAACTATAAATAATGATAAAACTGCCTGCATGGTTTTTACATCTAATAAATGGCAACGGAATACATATAAATGCAACTTTCTTAGAATATGCTAATAATATAAGATTACTTGGTATTTATCTGGATTGCCACTTAACTTGGGACGTACATGTCGAACAGCTTAGCAAAAGATTATCGTCGTCTTGTTTTGCACTTAGTGTTATGACTAAACAATGTAGTAGCCATATAACAAGAACTCTATATTTTGCAAATTTTCATAGCCATTTGAGGTATGGTATTATACACTGGGGTCTTTGTAAGGATTTCAATAGAATTTTTATCATCCAAAAATATGCCATACATATTTTAGCTAACCTTAAATCTGGAGAAACCTGCAGAAATGCCTTTAAAGAGCTCAATATTTTACCTGCCATCGAAGTTTACATCTATGACCTTTTATGTTATGTTAGATGCAATTTTTCCTCTTTCACTTTACACAATGCAGATCATTCATACTCTACTCGATATAAAAATTCACTACAGTCTAATCAACACAATACTGCTCTATATCAAAAAGGGGCATTTTTTAATGGATGTATGTTGTACAATTTAATTCCAGATTATGTTAAAAATGCTCAAACATCAACAGTTTAAAAAAAAATCTTAAAAAATGCATAAACCATGTTAATCCATATACCCTTGAAGAGTTTTTATCATTTCACTAAGTCCAATTTTAATTACAATTTACATTTGTGTTTAATTTTATTATATGTATCATTATAAGTGTCGCTAATGTTAATTATTATTTGCATTTGTGTACTATTTTTTTACTATTAACATTACAACTGTCGCTAATCTTAATTTTCATTATTATTATTATTATTATTATTATTTGTTTCGTATTTTAGTTTATTACTATTATATCTGTCGCTTATTTTATTTATATACTCATGTACCTTGACTTGTTTTTTATGTATTATTCATATAAAAATAAAATAATATTATTATTATTATATATCCTCACCCCTTCCGCCATCGTATTGACGCTGATCGCAATTAACTGTTTGTTTTTATTAATTTTTTTCTTTCATAAAAAAAATATTTATTTTTATTTACTTTTTAAAATAAAAACAATCTTATCTAAAATATTTCACATTGTTGATGGATCCCCCCACCCATAGTTCTCAGAAACCCCTCCCATGAAAAATTTCTGGCTACGCCACTGGACCATAGGGAAGAAAACTGAAAGATATAAGAATGAATACAAGACTAATTTTACTGCCCATTCAGATATTAGCTTAAGCCTTTATCCCAGGGAGCCGCCAAATAGCACAAATACTTGAATGAGATATATGCGATTGTTGTGAGGATTACTTAAAACTTGTAAGCCCATGAATATGTATAAAGTGAGCTATAATTTGTCTGTCGAAGGAAGCTGCAGTCATTTCGGGAACATGTGAAATAACGAATTCCTACTAAATTTTCTAGAAGTAGATGAGTTTATATCAATAAAATGAACTGAAGCACAAAATGATGGATTTTTGTTGGAATCTGATAACGAATTTCACATTCAAATAAACACGAACAGTAAAGCATGTAGACACCACAGGTCCCCATTTGTGGGACCAGTTGCCTATGGTAATCTTGTAGTTTAGGCGGATATTAATGCACAGGTCTGCACCATTACTGATTTGACTCGTTCTAACAATTGGAATCGTTACATAGTTGTCAAGGTTATATAGAATTTTTTTTAAATCTAGGAAAAAGTACATTTGAGTTATAATAGATGCTGTCAAGTAGGCATAAATTTTGAAGCCCAGAAATGTATAAAAATATTCTTTAATTTTAGATTATTTTTAAGCTTTTTTTTTGTAAAACAAAGTTTCCTTGCCCTCAAAATTAAAAGATAAAAAGCAAACGACAAAACAAGAATGGAAATCTGGCAAAATTGGAGGTTTAAAATTCAAATTCTAAAGGTCAGAGCAGAATAGTGCAGATATGCACATGATGTATTACCCACCTAAACTAAAAATTACTGTTACTTATTTAAAATGTTAGGAAAAAATGTAGTTTATAGTAAATCCACATTTCAAAAAAAAAAAAAATTAAAAAAAAAAACTTAACTAATTTACCTAATCTGTTCTGCCTGGCACATGTTGCGTCGCAGAAAAATTATACATAAAATGAGAAAAATTAAAAAAAAAAACCTAACTAATTTACCTAAACTGTGCAGCCTGGAGCCATCACGGGTTCACAAAAAATAATACATACTTATGAGAAAACTAAAAAAAAAAAGTATAAAAATGTCACATCACCTACATTGGCAAATAGGAAAGAACAAGTGAAAATATGAATATTTTAAAACAGATTAAAATCATTAAAATAAGTGACTGCCAAGATTTTTTTTTAACTTTTAAGCTTCCAAAGACATATACTTCCACATAAATTAAAATGTTTAGCATTGCATGGATTTACTATAATCTGCGTTTTTACCAAATATTGTATTTTTTAATTCAGGACTTACCAAGTTAGAATCTTCCACCAACTTTCTTATATGAGGCTTAACATTATCTATCAAATCAACTAAGTTTTTATTTGTAGGAACAGATCCAGTGGGTAATATCATAACTTTAGTACCATCTTGGTCAAGTTTAGGTTTTTTAGCAACTGGTAAATCTGTGTGGCTATTATAAATGATAGGATCTGGTACAGGTATATTCAAATCTTGATGTACATCTACAAAATTCCTGTTTTTAAATTGGGGAGTTTCTAGAATGTTGTTCAATTTCACTATGGTCTCAGGAAATCCTTTTAGAACCAATGTCTCTGCTTGTTTCTTAACATCCTCTTTGTACTGCTGTACCTAGAAACAGGTGATTCAAACAGTGAACTAATGTACCTATTATAATAAATATTAATGTGATGCAACCTCTTTTGAATAGGGGATATCCAAATTTAATAATAAGCTGTTAGATGTTTGAGTAGATATGGCCATTTTTGACAATTTTTTTCAATACTCATTATTAGCTACTACAAAACAATTTACCACGACATTTTGGACAGTCTTTTTTCTATTGACAAGAGTAGGCTTGCTCACTAGCCACTAGTTCATATTAGACCGAAAAATAAATTCTCCGGGCATTCTTCAAGTGATATTTTCTTACCTTTGCAGTATCTGCCATAATTAAAATCAATTATATTATACACCAAACAGTTTATTTCCGCCTAAATACTTTGGAAATGACAAACTTACACAAACTTAACCTAAAAATTAGACAGTTCACTTTACACCATAACGTGTTGAAAGGAACGAAGTTAGTCACAACTAAACTATCTAAACTACGATCAAATGATTGTGTATATATGGCCGCTTCCGTATACATTTGTATAAACATTATTTACCGTTTTGGATGAATTAGGACCGATTCCACCGTTGTGTTAAACGAAGTTTAAAATTACATTTTTACATTAACAATGTCATTTTAATCTCCGTTTAACACAACGGTGGAATCGACCCTTAAAAAATAGGTTATATATTTTAAATTACAAATATTTATAGATAAACGAAAATAAATAGAAATGCCAGTATGTAGAGTGATCACATCAGTAGTAAAACAATTTGGTATTTACTTTTTTTAATAGTATTTAATATTTACTATATATTTACTCTTATCAATATCCTTATTTACATAGTTACTCAGTACTACTAACTAATGTATAAAAAGAAATGTAGACATTTTAAATTCCCCCCGTTTCCTAGTGAATTTATTTTTAACGTTGGGTCGATTCCACCAATCTATGATTCCACCGTTGTGTTAAACGGAGATTAAAATGACATTGTTAATGTAAAAATGTCATTTTAAACTTCGTTTAACACAACGGTGAAATCCACAAAGCACATAGAGGTTCCACGTGAATGACCAAGGTCAAAACCGACAATTGACATTTTTTATGCTATTTGCTCCAAACTCTAGATGGGGCTACTGGTAAAATTCTGATTTCTTACTCCATTTTTAAGCTTTATGGGAGAAAAACTCCAAAGATGTGACGTGTCCCAGCTAGCACAAAAACATCCCATCTACGTTAATAAGCTGCAATTTTAGGCTCTTTAAGCTCGCATGCAATGTACTGTAAATGTAACCCTGATCTCCCTGCAACTACCGAATGTCCGCAACGGCAAGACTTTTATAGCACATCTCACAGAAGTTACAAAGTGAAGTTCGAAAAACATCACACTAGCACTTTTACGGTACTTACCCCGAAAGTTGCTCTGAAACGTTCTATTGATGTTATAATGTGAATTAGATCTACAGCATTATACAGTGTGTCCACGGATGGGCTTAACTATACTTGTGAAAATATTTATTTTAAATTAAAAAAGTAATTCTTCATAATTTCTTGCTTGTTAAATAAATTCGATTCACATTGAGAAATTATGAAAAATAACTTTTTCTTTAATTTAAAATAAATATTTTTACAAGTATAATTAAGTCCATCCGTGGACACACATTGTGTAATGTAATACAGAGAGGCTGAAATTGAGGCTATAGTAAAATCTCAATCGAGACATGAAAATTTCAAATAAAACAAAATATTTATATAACTTTATTATTAAAATGTTCTTGAAATCAAGTACCAATAGCACAAAAGTAGAGGTAGCTGTAGGCGTGTTCTTTTATTCAGTGCTGTATCCAGCGCTTGCAGCAAACCGTTCGTAAATTAAGTGATGGAAAGACGATTGTATGTGTGAATCATTCTTTTTTCCAGCGATGAGTTCACCAATGAGCCAAGGCATCCATCGGCTTTTAAAGCCAATGGATATGTGATAGACGAATGGTGAGGATAATCAATCATTTAAGTTAACCTAAATTTATGAGTTCAAATATAAAACGACTGCAGAATAGATAAATTACATCAATCACTGATGGAACAATTATTGAATAAAAGAACACACCTTATATCACAAACACAAGTACACATGTGGGATAGAAGAAGCTACCTAGAAAGCACTGAACGATTGGACAAAATTAGCTAAATAGTATAATAAGGTACCAATATTGCAAAGGTTCACTAAAACCTTAAATGGTGAACGATGATAAAGCTAGATTGGTGAAAAATAATAAACGAATACAACAATGACTAGGTACATATTATTATATTAGATTACGAGAGCATAGCTAAGTTCGCTGATTTCTTACCTAAGACGCAGAGATATATCTTTTTTAAATCAAGCTTTTTAACTTTTTTTGCATAGATATTTATAAAGTGCTATAATGTAACCTAAATATGACAATTTATTAGAAGAGCATAAATTATATTTTTATATAAAAAGATTTTACGTCTCAATACATTAAATAAAAAAAAATTGTTAACTTGTTTACCTATTATTAATTAAAGGAAATTATATAGAAATTAAAAAATATGTCTTACTTTGTTGTTTTAAATAAAACAACCAATGTTAGTGTATTGAAATTTGTTTGAATTTTACAAATTTTATGCTTGATTTCCAAAGTAGATATATCGATGGCTCAATCAAAAACCGCCACAAGTCAAAAAACAAAGCAATTACATTTTTGGTTCAATGGATGCAAAATATCATTACGGTTTTACTTTAAATACCACCACAAACAAAAATATCCTTAAAGATAAATCATTTAAAATGTAGCCACAAACTGTGTCTAAAACTGCCTCAATTCGAGTTATTTTCTTCAAAAACACCCAAATTTTTTACAACTATGCAACAACTCACTTTTATAATCGTAATCATTTTATTTAACAGCAAAATATCGAAGCTTTTAAATAAAATATAAAGAGTATGTCAAAAACAAAATAATGATAATAGAGACTAACAAAATGAAATTTCTCGAAATAATAGTATTTTAATTGTGGCAGTATTTGATTGAGCCATCGATATGTAGATTTTATAAAAAACAACTGGTGTTTTTTAGCAAGATATTCTATTATACTCGAGAGTATCATCTATGATTTCTCTCAACTTTTCTGCTGGGTTTTCACTTGAACTGATGGTTGCATTTCCAGGCAATCTAGCCTGTTGAAGAGAATGAACTGCTTGAATTCTGATATACCTGACATATCATGTACCTATAGATTCACTTTTTATAAAACTTCAGGTGTTATATTCTTCTATACACTTCTGTAGTATTTACTTTTGCTTCTAAAATTCCTAGAATGTCGAAGGAAACCTAAAAAATAATATTTTTAAAATGTATTTTTAGTTCGATAAAGTATAATTACCTTTTATAAGTATTTGGTGTCAAATGTTGCCGGACATTCGGTTAAATGTTTATCTTCTGGTTTACAACGATTGATCTGCCTGTCTGCAATTCTTTGTTTTTATTGTAGTTTTTTTTTTATTTGGTGTCATTGGCATCGACTGCTAAAGATACTTAATGAATGAAATAATAAATTTACATCAGGCATTGTAATCTGAAACAAAGACAATGGTTTAGAAAATAGTTATCTATTTTATAGAGGACCCTTACCAAATCTATTCGAATGTATAAATAATAATTATTTATAAAATAAATTCTGGATGTCGAAAAATAAACCATTAAAAAAGACAATTGACAAGAAAAACTGACAAGTGACAATTGACATAAATCTAAACGTTCTGAATTCAGATTTGTAATGTTGTGGTAATGTTTACGGTAGGTTAACTAGGTAAATAACAAATAGAAGTTTTGCGAGGTTTTGATTTCCCTTAACAACTTCTCATGAACGTTGCATTTACGTTGTACAGTAATGTTATTACGTTCCCTTAATGCAACATCGCCGAAAGGCTTGGCAACGTTATGTGCTAGCTGGGGTATTTATTTATGTTTTTGGTTAATCTCATTTTTCCGTCTGATTTTAGTGATTTTTTGTTGGCTTTGGCTTTTGGTTTCTGTTTATAGTTTCGTCTTAGTTATAACCTACTGTGTTTTGCAATAATTTTGGTGCTACCTGTGGGTGCTACGTTGAAAACTTCGAGAAAAACTTCATTGATTCACCATGCATCTGCATCATAAAAAGAAACGGGTATAACAACTAGTGATGGGATCATTCGAATTAAAAATCCTCGGTAATCCGAGTATCAAAATCCTCGGTATAATCCGATTATTTGTTCCGAGGATTCATTCGGTTAAATATTCGTTCGGATCAACCAATGTCTAGAGAAACGAATCGCTGTCAGCTGTCAGTGCACGTCATAACCTCCGATTCGGGTGCGCAAAGCGGGAGTGCGAAACACCTTGTCCAACTGGGGATTGATATAGGGTAGAAAAAAATGAGATAGATTCAGTGAACTATATAATATAATTGATACATTTGGGACGGGACCACATGGGACTCTATTCATTGAATGGGTCAGAAGTTGCATTTTTTAAAATTTTGTAATGATTTACAGTGAAATATAATAAAATGTGAAGATTAGTTTATTACTAAATAAATGATTGAAAATAAACATTAAAAAAAAATTAACAAAAACAAAATACAGGAATATATTTGGAAAGCACTATACATATTCGGTAGGTACAATCGTTCGATTTAAAACTAATCTTTCTTTGGTATGTAATTTATAACAACTAATTGATAATCAATTTATCACTGGACTAGATTCCGAAATCATTTTTCACATAAGAGAGTAATACACAAAGCAGTGGAGTAATACCACCATCTGTATTTGGAAGGAAAATACCTATTTATCATTGAATGAATAGTTAAAAGGATTCACCTTTTAATACAATACCTATATTACATTTGTCCTCGGTTTAAAAGACATTTATAAAATATATTATTTTAGTGTTACTAAAATGTAATATCCTAGTCTCTACTTCACATTTAAATTATTGATAGGTATTTTAAAGATTTGAGATTATATACCTATTTGCTGCAAGTAAGTATTCGTTAAATATGTATTATTATTTGTATTTATTTTTATCTAATAATATTATTTAAGTTATTAATAAACATATTTTAAGAATGTTCTATTTTATTGTTTATTGATATCTTATATTTATTTAATAATAATATGCAGAACCAACTCTTCACATCAGACCCCTGCTTATAACAAATTAATTCCTCAAATTTGGTATAATCGACCTAAATTATTTTGTAAAATAAAAGTTTCGAACTTACTAGTTCCATTCTTTATTTTATAAAATAATTTATGTGGAAATCATTTAA